CTGTTTAGTAGTACCCATAGAAAGCATGAATCATTTTGTGATCTGTACATGCAATGGTTATTATTTTGATGTGATATGCATTAATAATTTATAATCTTGAAGCTTAGCCTTGTTCCACAAAGCATTTTTTTTTTGGTATTAAAATAGGAACGTAACATTATTCCTAGATCATTTTGTACTAAGGTTCTCTATCGAATTATTTTTTACTGTATATTTCATATGTGGCATGTACATGTGAAAATTATGATGAAAAAATTTACAATTAATCTAGAGGAGTCCAGTTGTGAATGATAACTATTTTGAACATATACAGATAAAAACCTTGCATCATCATCATGATTAAAAAAAAAATTAACTGTGTGTAAAATTCAAATACAATAATGTAGTTATCTGCTCAAATTTAGATTTACATTCAGTTGTAATATATATTGTCTGCCTCTTGGGCAGCCAACTTTTTGTACATTATGTACATACATGTTGTACATATTTTTAAAATTCTTAATTAAAATCCATAAATGTGTCTCATTTGATCATAGGATTACCATAAATCTGGCAGTAATGAGATACATGAATTAATGAAAAGTTAACTTTTCAATTGAAAAGTTAACTTGTTAAAGCTGACATGAATTCTTAAAAACGCAACTTTTTCATCTATGTACGACTTGTTTCATACCAACTATAGCCGTATTCCGCCATATTTCTTTCAGATACCTCGTCTCATTGTAACGATATATACCCGAATGCCCTCGTTACACTTGAGTGATTTTTTGGCTTGGCTATCGACTTGTGCACATCTCCGATGGTAAAACATTTGAAAACACATGGGTTGATCAAGACATTTCAAAACCACACAACATAATAATCATATTTCTGAATAATTATAGATTTGAATCAAATGTAATAAAAAAAGAAAGAAAATGCAAGTTTGAAAGAAAGATTTAGTTGCGCGAGTACGCATTTTTACACTGCGCCAATTTATGCAGAATAAACATGAAATAAAAAGCACTAAAACCCGTAAACACACTTTGAAATTATTTTCATTTGAAAGGAACAAAGCAATCAGCGTCTTTGATTTGCAGGTTTTATGCAGACTTTGATGCATGTCGAGAAAACGCGTCGAACGCTGTAAACGTACCCATACCTGGTAATAAGATCACTGCATCGGTTCGAAGATGTGCACAAGTCAAGTGATATACACCCTGAATTCCATTTATTGAAATATGCATCACAAAAAAGAAATAAACTCCATAAAAACTCAATAAACACACTGTATCTACTCCGTACAGTCTAGCGCGTCGATACACTTAGTCCGTGCTGATCAGATTCTGGTGAGGGAAAATATCACAAGTGGAAAAAAGTGGTATTTGCGCGACTGAAATGGGGGGGGGTCTAAAGTATAATTATAACGGTTTCATAAGGTATAACTGAAAATTGTCTATCTAGTTCTAATAAACATTCTTTATATAGTCTGCAGTTGTTTTGCATCGCAAAATTCATTTGTCAATTACAACTGATTATTTTAGTACTAATCTCAAATCTAAACCAAGTAATTTGATATACGGTAAATATTTAGTTCAAGACTTAAAAGCATTTAACCAGAATACAAAAGTTTATGTGTACACCTGTACGTTCTTTAACACACACGCGGAAAAAACATCCCCCTTTTAGACTGATATTGAGGCATTTGTATTTGGGGGGGGGGGGGGGGCAGAAATAATTGATATGGCCGTTTCTTGGAAGACAGACATTTCTGCCAATTCCATTTTTGAAGATTTTTTATTGTCTCACTCCGACCACAAAGTATGAACATTTTTGCGGAATGTGGCTGTTTTATAATTATTACAGGAAGTCTTTCGAGATTTCAGTATCCCTGTCTGACAGTCTAGTTTTTTTAAAAATAAAGATAATTTCTGTTGCAATATTTGGGAGATACTTTTAAAAGTTTGGTAGGGAAACTTGAAACCTGGTGGAATACAGATAATTTTTAATTACTCTTTTATTCATTGAACTCTCTCGCTCTCTCTCCTCCTGAAACCATCTGTAAGCGCAATAATAGATATAAAATCATATGTATTTTGTGCTGTACCATTTATTAGATCTTGGGACAGATCAAAGATTTTTTTTGTCAGGGGGGATGTCGAAACTTGTTCAAAAATTGAAATAATAATTTTACTTTTGACAAGAAAATAAACATAAACGCCGAAATTGAAAGGAAAATACATGTAAACGTGAAGTCTACATTATAGGAATGGGAACATTGGGAACTTTCTCAAATACATGTACCTTCTCAGGTAAGGAATCTGGACAAAAGTTATTTAGACAAGAGGTATAAAAAAGCTAATTTTTGGTAGAATGTGAAACTCTCATCGACAGTTTGCTTTCCCTTCCTATATGCTTCGACTATTAATAATTTATATCCAACCCAGATATTTGTTGACATGCAAAAAAAAACCCGTAAACTCGCCCAAACTTCAAAACCTATTTCGGGGGGTTGGGGGGGTTCCGAGGGGGTTCCTACGTAACTCTTTTTCTTGCTTGAGTAAATAAATTTAATAACCTTGCAAATCCCAGGGGAGGGGGGTCCTAAACCCCTCTAGATCCGCGCATGGCACTCATGCATAGAATCACACCACAGCCACTTCAATTTATATTGATGGGGGACCTCCAAAATCAGCTGACAAGCAAAAAAACAAAAAACAAAACAAAACAAAAAAACCTATGCAACACACTCTATACAATCCTTTTTGGTAGGGGATAAAGGAGGCTTCCTGTAACTTTTCTGTTCAGTACATTACTTTTGTATGCTTGAATCTGCGTATTTTCCTGCAAACAAAACATGTGGAGGGAGCTTTCAAATCAAAATTTTAATTTATTTGAAACTGGGGCAAAGATTGTCCTCAGAAAAAGTTAGCCCCCCCCCCCCTCCATCTGCATACTACGGGAACATTTTAAACCTTTATCTTTACCGAATCGAAATATTTCATGAATACTTCTTAAAGTTAGTTACTTCTGAAAATGGTCCAAAAATGGTAAAAAAAGTTCGTTGGAATCTTCCTTGCATGTTACTTGTGGATGGTCGAAGCCATTAGACAGGGCTACCAAAACAAGATAGAAATTTGTCCCCATTTTGATTTAAAAGAACTCAGAGGTGAGTTTCATTACATACTAAAGTGCAGCTCGCTACTTTCAGAAAGAATGCTATGCTTAACAGAAAAAAAGCATAAAATTTCAGAATGTGATTAATTTTAAACTCATTATGAGTAACAATAAACACTGTTTTCTGAGAAAATTGTGCTCGTTTATAAAGAAAAAAAAATAAAATATGCCCCCGCCTAAATTCCCATACTTCACATTTATAGCAACGTACAATTTTTTGTTTAGTTTCTTATTCACGCATGCTTTATAGATCTACTGTTATGTATAAAATCACCTATATATTTTTGTGATTTTTGTATACTGTTGTAAAATGGTGAAGAGATTCAAATAGTTGATTGAAAAATGACTGAAGGTACGCGGAGGAAAGCAAATCCGCGAAAATCTACAGATCTAGAGAACTGAAAAGACAGAGATTTTTTTATTTCTTCAAATTATTCATATTATTAGACGTATAAATATCTATACTCTATATTACAGAAAAAAACATTCTCTCTCTCTCTCTCTCTGTATGTGTGTACAAAAATAAAGGCCGGGGGTTCCAATCCCTGGAACCCCACTCCACCTCTGGATCCGCCAATGAATTCTATTTTGATTATTCATGTACCATAGAATCAAACTCGTTTATTGTGTATAAAATTATGAAAATAAGGTTAAATCAAGTTATATAAGGTCTTTATTTAAAAAAAAATAAATAAATAAAGCCAATACACATTATTTATAATGAAAATATTTGATTGTAAAAAAAAATCCGATCTTTTCAGAGAGCGTTATGCATTTTTTTTTACCCCCCCCCTCCCTTTCACGGGAGAATCTCGTCAAAGGATGAATGATTCGTAATGTTGCATGCTATAAAATGAATTTAATGTAATTAAGCCATGTCTGAAAATTTTTTTTACATTTACATATACAGACAAGAGTAATATTTATTTTTGAAAAAAAAAAATTGCACTTTTTCAGTCAACCAAAATACCAGTAAGCTTTCCACCTTTGAAATTTCCCCTGACCAAATAGACTATCATCGCGGACAACGTGTGTCCAAGTGCTATGTGGTGACAATTTTTTACTGTTCAGTTAGCAATGGATTACATGAATTCTGAGATGCATATTTCAATAAAAGTAAAATAGGATATTTCTTTCGACATGTGCACATCCCTGTAACGATAGCAGTATTCAGGTAAATATCTTTATCATTGCGTTCGATGCATATTCTCGACCTGCATGCGTGCATATCCAAACGGCTTTTGCTGTTTTCCGTGTTATTTTTTCTAAATTGCAGCAAATGCATTCAAAAATAATTTACTTCTCAGTATAGTTCTAGTTTTTGTTAACTTTTAAAATATGTATTTGGTCAGTTTATGGATTTATGACAACTATGCTATCGGAGATGTGTACATGTCGACAGCCAGGCTAGAAAATCACTCAGGTGAAACAAATGCACTTGGCTTTATATAACAGGTACAGGTGGCCAAAAATTTTCAATTAAATATGGCGGAATCGAAGAAATATGGCGGACAAAGGCGTACAGGAATGTAGTAAGTCGTACAAAGATGAAAAATGATGCCTTTTTAAGAGTTCATGTCAGCTTTAAATTATAGAAATTTTAAATATGGTAATAGTTTTAAGGTTTAAACTTGGAAATTTAGAGATTATATTAATACATAATGCAAGTCAAAACCATTTTTTTAAAATTTGATTTAATGCTGTAACAATCAAATTAATGAAATATGAATAAATTTGGAATGATAAAGATAAAATATGCTATATTGTATGAAAAAACTTTATATTGTAATTAAATTTTACAAACTGTTGTTGCTTACTAAACAGAAACTCTTCAATTTTAATAGACCAAAAAATTGCATACAGTAAATCCAACCCTATATTTTGTCTAAAATTCTTAAATGTCTGCATATATTATTGTAGCTATAATGATTATGAAAACACACTATAGTATACAAATATCATTTGCATATATGATAAATATCATCAGATCTCAAATTTTCACCACATTTAACGATGCAGTAATTTTGAACAAGATAGCATTTTGTTGTCAAAGCACAATCCATCACTATATGCGTGCTCAATCATAAGTATTGCTATGCACAGATAGACTTTTGATGTCAGAGCAGTTTTTGCTCATAAATTTTGTTAGCCATAGTTTTCACGTTCCCATTTTATCTGGGGAGGAAGCATTTGCAGGTCTTATAGGAGGAAGGGGATTGGTGCGAGGGGTAGCTTTTACTTTGCTTGTATTAATTCGATGATCCGCAAAAAAGTCAGCCTCTTTTTCCATTCTTTCTCTCGAAAAGTCCATTTGATTTTTGGTCAGTTCTCGCACTAGACACTTTTCAAGAAGTTCATTGTCCAGAGATGTTTCACTCGGGAGAGAACGTGGGGTACACGATTTCTTGCTGATGGAAGGGAGAACAGGATATTTCTTTTCCTTGATGTTAACTTGATTTATCTCCTGAAGTGGGTCGACCAGCTCGTTAGCGTTATTGTTAATGAAACTGACGGGGGTGGGCACGGTGTAAGTACGTGAGGCCTCACAATCACTGCACGTGTCCTGTAGTTCGTCCTTGTTAATCGGCACCAGCTCCCCGTCCATGTCTAGATGATAAGAGGAGGAGTTGAGTTCCTCCCCGATACTGGCGGGCTCGTCTGAGTCGTCCATACTCATGGGATCGGCCGAGGTGGAGTGACTAGAGAGTCCCGTTCCGCTGTCCCGCTCCTCAGACTTTGTGTCCGCTGTGTTACCGTTAAAATCCTGGTCGTTATTAACAGAATCACAGTCCTGGGTGTACTCCATAGATCTGCTTCTGTGGTCCATGGTGAGCTGCATTATAACAACTAGGTGATTGAAGTATGGTCAAATTTCTCTCACAAATAATTACAGTTAAAATGAAATACTCTCATGGTATAATTCCACATTATGGTTCCAAATCGTGTACAGCTAAAATTTCATGACTCCTCTCTCTCCAAGGCAAAGGAATGGCCTTAAAATGAAAGAAAAGAAAATAATCAATATCTCATCCAATAATCCGTGAAAATGTACATACGTAAATATAGATTGAGGGTGTGTATATTTCTGTTGAGGCTCATTACAGAACAATAAAACAGGTGATGATCAATAATTAATACCTGAGGAACAAAGACAATGCAACTTATTACGTATATCCTGAAACCAAGGTGATAAAACAATTTTTATAAATGGTTTATCAACATTGATATGTTCGGACCCGGGGGCTGGGGAATTTCTGTGCTTATTATGCCCCCCCCCCCAGTTACAGTGTATTCTGGTATTCCCTCTCAACCCCCTCCCCCTTTTAAGTCATGAACCCCAAACACCTGCTATTATTTGAATGTCCTCTGCTATTTCAGTTTCTAAGGACAACACTGGTTATTCTTCCTAGAGTAACTATCAACATGAAATAAACCTTTTATTTCATAAAATTGCGTAAATTTATGAATAATTGATTGGTGATTGAAAGATGTTTCTATAGTTGAAAAAGAATACGTTACAATAAACTGTCATGTACTGAGTATGCCAAACTTTTGAGTGAATGTAGAAAAAGGCTTTAACAGTGTCAGAAGTTTGATAACCTTTTAAAACATCAATAAAATTTCTTTTCATGAATTTTATCAGATTAATTATATCTCAAAAGTTAATTCATGTATTGCAATTTCAATCAGTGATTGCAGTTATGATATTGGCAAGACTGGTTCATGACTTCAAAAAAAGAAGAAAAAAGATGTCTTAAAAAAAAGAAACAAATCAAAATATTAATTACCTGTAAAATGTAATTAGGCATCCCATTATGTTAGTTTGATTATAACCATTTCATTAATAATCAAACTCATGGCATTTCCTCCATGACTATCATTTTGAAATTCATATGTATATATAAATATATGTAGCACCTATTTAGAACTCTGTACTTATGTTAAAGAAAATTCCATGCATGACTTGGTCTTTGATCTAATTTTTAATGCTAAATCCATATTGAAGTGAAAAAGAAAAACCGCTAATACGTTTAAGGAGCTTATTGTTGCTATTTAAATTGTCTATTGAGTAATGACTAGTTACAGGTCCATAAAACCTTTGGCCTGTTAATCTTCACAAGTTATATGCTCTCAGCAATTTGTTCTACATGTAACATTGTGTAAAAGAGATAAATGATTAAATTTTTGAAACCGTTAATTAAATTTTTTTCTCAGAAAAGGGGGAGGGGAGTAGATCTTCAGGTGCTGCCAAAAAGAACTTAAGTTTATATATTGTCTTTTAGAGTTATATATAGTATTATTGATCAAAAAGACATGAATTTATGGAAAGTTTTTGTACAGGATATATTCATTATTTATTTTTTTTTTAAATCTAATTTCAATAAGACCTAATTGCCAGTGGTACAAAGTATCATTCAATTTCCATTATATTCAAAAAAAGGTCTCTTTAAGTGTAGGCATTTGAACATTGAAGTAGATGTTTTGATTCTTTAAAACTACTGGTTTAGATACACTGTATATAATGTACTAAAGTGAAATCTTTTAAATTGATTTCAGAATGTGTATTAGTGAGTTCTGAATTCTATATAGATTTTAAATGTATTAGGAAAGTTTTTTGAGGAAACTAAAAGTGATTTGAAATTTCAATGTTGCTTTTCTGTGCTTTCAAAAATTCTTAGAATAATAACCTTGATTGATTGGAAACCATTGTTATGATTATCCAAATGTGTAAAAATTGTGTAACCCCCCTTTTTTTTCCATTCCTGCCAGATTTAGTTTCACATACTTCTCTCTGTTTGATATTTATAGATCCTTATTGTGTAATCTGAATTAAATCAACAATTAAAGATTTAGTGACCAAAAGTGATATGCCACTTCAGTACATAATATTTAATCTGCTTTATATTTTGTTTTTCTCATATAATTAGTATTGCAAAAGTGGAAATACTTTTATGCACCTGGAAGTATATACCAGCTAGTCTTTCCAGTTATAATTTAATTTGCAAAAAAAGACACAAAATTTCGTCATCTAAAATAGTTTCGAATTCAATTTCGAAATTCAAATAAAAATTTTGTTTTCATTGATTAATGAATTCGATACTAATTTAACTATGTTCATAATTATTAATTGTTATGAATTGATTACATTATTAATTAATGGAATACATAAATTCACAGCTCATCATCTCTTGAGGATAATTTGTACACAGTGTAATGGTCAGTATGTGAAATTACTTCTATATACAACTTATTAATGAACCAATATTTATTACGATACACACTGTATCTATGTGAACCCAATACGGAAAATGTCAGCATAGAAAAGTGGTTAAGTTGTTATTAATCAATACATATTATTGACTGGTAGTTATTTAATGTCTATACCTGGTATAAACTTATATTGATATATTTGCATACACATATATCTTACCCCAATAAAGTTTTCATCCTTCCACGAGTACATGTAATACTAATTTCCCGACAGTTTTCATTCTGTATACTTGCCTGTTATATAGAACCTGCTACCCTTCTATCTGATCTTCATTTACAAAGTGTTTTTGTTGGTTTTAAAGGCTTTTTTTGTCAGATCTTTCAAAAGAGATCAGCTCTGTTTGAAATCTGATCTCTCCCAGTGACAGGTCTGATACCTATCGCAAAGACTGTCAAAACGGAAAATTCTCAACTATTCCTTGGTGACGATGAAATATAAGCCCTTATTGATATCAATTTGAAGTCAATTTAAAACATATTACACATTTGGTAGAAAGAGTAAATACCTGATTGTATCCATTGAAAATATCATAACAATTTCATTTAATGTTTAATTTTTTTTTTCATGTCAGAAAATTGTATTGTTTAGCATGCATTATAATTAAACTACATGTATTATGACATTTAAATGTTTACCTTTTTTTCCCTAAAATGAAAAATTAACACTGAACATAAGGCATACAAAGTGAGGCTTATATCCAAGTTTTCTTAGCGTACTTTAGACACATTCAATCTTCTGTATTGAAGTGTTTCCCCCACGGACTATAGCAGCAGACTGTACCGTTTCTATTCCTTAATTTAAATAAATTGGCAACAACACCGCTAGGTACCACTTACCGTTTTTTGGTGTTAGAATTTGGTGGCACATTTCCTTTCAATTGAAGGCTATGATTATCAGATAAAATTCTTTAAATGTTTACTCAAAACATCAAATGCTGTTTTCTTAAAGCAAACATTTGAAATTCTACGGGTTGAAAAAAAAAATTTAAAAAAAGGAAAGTTACTGAAATACCTTGTTGATATATTGATTTTGTACTTCCCATTAAAAATACGTACCATTTTATATAAATAATATCTTTGTCCGTATCGGGCATGCGTTCATTTGATTTTTAAAAAGGGGGTGACTGTGCAATGTGATTTTTAAATTTTTTTTACAGTTGTTCAAATTTTCCTGTGCCAGAGTGGAATATACACTAGCTGCTCTATTGATCATAAAACATCTCAATTATGTTTTTTCAGCTGGTGTTGATTTGTTCGGAGACAATGGTGACAAAAGAATCACTGACTCTCGGCAGATCAGATTTCAGACACAATACAAACTATTGGATAACCTCCATGTTTAAACAACACATTATTGAATTATCATGTTATGAATGCATGTGAGATGTGATTTTAAGTAGACCCCATTAGATAAGGTGCAATTTAATTTATTGCGCATGATAATCAAATAGATATTAAATTTACTTAATTAAGGTTTGATATCCTTACGCTGCCTGAAAATATTTATTGTTCCCTATTTGAAAATTGATTGTTTTTCTTTTAAGTTAAATTAAGTTATTAAGTTAGATGACATTTGAATTTATTAAAATGAAAACTACAAACAATGTACCGACAAAAAATATTTCTTAGCTGAGAGCAAATGGGGGGAAAGGCGATAATGGAAAGAGCAGAACACAATCATCATTTGTAAATAAAATTATGTAATTAAGACCAGACATGGAAATTCCACAACGTTTTAATTGGCTTGACCTTTGGAATGATATCTCTGATGGTCACCATGCATAGACATTTTTAACAGTTTGGGTCCTGGAAAATGACATGGGTAGCTCAGTAGTTAGAGCATCTGATGGGATGCAGAGGTCCCAGGTTCAATTCCCAGTCTAGCCATACATCCTTTCCTGATACATAATTCAGTGCTGCTGGCCACTCTTGGACTTGCAGATGAAAGTCCTGATAGGGACAAATATATGAACTTGAGGGTTGTGTCTTTGAAGGCAAAGACAATTTAAGGATGAGGCACTGCAGCAATAGTTTGGGCCATAAGTATTGGCCCGAGAAGCTCTGTTGTTTGAGTACCAGATTAATGAGAACGGTTCTGGGTTCAATTTCCCACCCAGCCATATATTTTAGCTAAATAATTAGATTGATGCTTTTGAAGGCACCAGTTCGTATACCAAGCTGATCTGTATTTAAACTGAAGGTTCCAGTACAGATATCACTTGGTAAAATTTTAGGATTTTAATTTAATGATTCTCCAAGTATCTTCTTGATTTCAGAGTGTCAGACAGAGGGGGAGGAATCCCTCACAACATCGTAGAGAGGGTACACAACTACAACTTTACCACCTCAGGCAACCATAACAACAATGTTGTTGACCCTGAACCACAGGTCGGGCTGTTTGATGAGATTTCCAACCCTTCTAACAGGGGAGGGGAAGTACCTGGCAGGATGCATGGGTGAGTACCAAATAAAATCCTGAATAAATTCCTAAATAAATTAGTATGTACATAGTACTAGTATTTGAATGTAATGACTGTACCTGGATCAAACTTGTAGTTGATGTATCTAAGAGTTGAACATTATCCCTTTCTCAGACTTGCTTATCCAATATCCAATTTTCATCCAATGATTCACTCCTCAGATGTTTGAAGTAGTTAGAATAAACATTTTAATGAATATTCAAATGGCTCTGGGGCAGTTTCACTACTTTGACCAAGTACATAGCAGAAATTAAAACCATGTAGAAAAAAATGTATATCTACATGTACAGTACCATAATTGAATCATTGTTTTGTAGCTATGGATTTGGACTGCCCTCCTCCAGAACCTATGCCGAGTATTTAGGAGGAAGTCTAAGCATGCAGACCATGCAAGGAATCGGGACAGATGTCTATCTGAGAATGCTTCACATTGACGGAACATTGGAGAGTTTTCGTATTTAACATCAAGCTAGAAACTAAGTATAATATTGCTTTGTAGTAATTAGGTGCTTTTTACAAATGTATTGTATGGTGAAATGATCAAAATCTCAAGAGAATCTCATTACTTAATTTGTGTAAGTTTTTTTTTCTTTTTTATTGAAAAAACTCATTTTATGTGATAATTAAGTTTTTTTTACTGCCATTGAATCTCAGTTTGTGATAAAGTCATGGAATATTTTTTCCAGCATGAACTTCATATTTATATTTATGTACACTGTACTTACATTTCAATTTTTTTTGCAGAATATATGAATTTATGAGAA